CTAACAGGCCTTTTCACCAGCTAGGACAGCACTTTTCCTTTTTAGGTCTCATTTAGGACACTGTCAAGTGCAGAAGGAGAGCATGAACCCTGGATTCCTTTTCTGTTGCCACTGTAACAAGTGATTATAAACATACTGGCTGGATTTATTCTCTTACCTTTCTAGAACTAAGACATCTTGAAGGGGAGTGAGGCTGTGTCCCTTCCAGATGCTTCAGGAGAGTCCCCTTCACCTCTCTCTGCTTCTAGAGGCACCTGCATCCCCTGCGCCTTCCTCCCAGCAGATCTCCTCTCCATCTGCTTTAGCTCTTCCTCTCAGCTCGATCTCCTCTCCATCTCTGCTTCAGCCCCTTCCTCCCAGCAGGTCTCCTCTCTCATCTGCTTCAGCCCCTTCCTCCAGGAGATCTCTCTCCATCTCTTTAGTCAAGGCTCCTTCTCTGACTCTGGTCCTCCTCCTTCTCTCTCTCATTAACTTAAAAGAGCCCCTGGTGGTGTAAATGTGACAGCCCACAGAGGCAACCCCAGTCCTGGCGTCCACGTCAGAAGAAAGCCTGTCTGAACAGCCAGGTGTTGACAGCACCGCAGGCTCCAGTTCTCTGACACCCGGGGTCTGTATGCATCAGGGTCAGCTAGACAGCACTGAAGTGGGGACCACCGTGCAGTCTGAAGCTGAAAACAATTTAATGACACCTATAAAGGCTCTTAAAGGAGCTCTGACGGCTTAATGGTAAGAATCTGCACTGCGATCCCACAGGTACGTGGTTCACATCCACCAGCTGCTTCACAGGAGAGGGATGGGCCGTCTCCTCCTGTGTGATTTACTGCCTCTGAAAACCTCGTGAAGGGTCATTTGGGAGTTCTAACTCGACGGCACACAACAGAGACCCTTGTGTGATGGGCCGTGTTCTCAGGCTTCACTGGTGCTCAGTGCTGCATTGGTCATGTTCTTGGAACTAAGACACCAGTGCAAGTTCACTGGCTTCTCTGGGAGGAAGGTGTGCTGCTCTGCACTTGAAGACGCCAGAAGTTCAAGTTCACCAGCTTCCCCCTGAAGAAGGTGTGCCGCTCTTCACATGCACATGTCACCTTCTCCCCCAGAGGAAACTGCTGCTCTGCACGTGAAGATCCCAGGAGTTCAAGGGCACCATCTTCCCCCAGATGAAAGTGTGTTATTCTGTACATGAAGATGCCCCTGGGAGGCGCTGGGACAACTGTGCTCTGTCCTGCAGGGAAGGCCCAGGGGCGGCTGTGCCCTGACGTGTTGATGGCAGTGGGTTCCCAGGTGTTTAGTGCAGCTGAAAGCTGTCCTGTCACTTCACCTGTACATGTGAGCCCTAGCATTTGGCTCCTTCCCAGAAGGTCCACGGTTCAAGCCCACTAGCTGCTCCTCAGGAGAACGATGCGGTCATGTGGTCGTTTGCTCTCAGATCGGCGTGCAGCCTGGGAGACAGTGGAGCAGTTCTGCGCAGCTGGGCCTGTGGGTTGCTGTGAGCCTGAATCTGCTCGGTGCAGGGATGTTTTTGGGTTTGTTTTTTTGTGTGTAAACATATCTAAGTGTTTTAGAAATCATAACCATTATACCGTGATCACACCCAACAGAGTTAATGGTAATTTTTTATTATCACATGTTACATGGTCAACGTCCCATTTCCCCAGCGTGTCTGCACTTGGCTTTGTTAAATCAGTAGACAGACAAGCCCACATGGTGCGTGTGCTTCATATGCTGAAGAACCTCAGCCGTTTGCCTTGTCACGGTGGGGCCGTTGACCATGTCTCTCCACTTCCCACATCGGAAACCCGGGGTGGGAGACACTCGCCGGCTCCAGGCTGGACATCCTGCAGAAGTGTGTCGTGGGTGGTGCCGAGCCCTGTGATGTGCTGTGCCAGGAGGCACGTGATGTCTGGTGGTCTTTCTAGGTATAAAAGGACCTCAGTCAACCGTCAGTAGGTCCAGGTCTTGTCAGCCTGGCCCCTCGTGTGCAGTTCACTGTCCGCCTTTAACTTGGGCTTCTGCAGCCGTTTCCTGCCAGTGCACCTTCCCGCAGGGGCTGCCGGACCTCTGACATGTCCGTGACGTGGTTCCCACTTAAGTAGGTGATGGAGTGATGAAGACCGTCAGCACTCAACTGCTAGCTGAAAGGCTGGCGGTTCCACCCTCCTCAGAGGCTCCTTGTGACCTGTGCTCACAAGGCCATGCAGGGGTGTGTGTGTGTGTGTGCGCTGTGGAGCAGGCCTGTCTTCACGTGGAGTCCCCAGGAGTCAGAGTTTCCATACTGACACCCAGTGCGTCTTAGGGACAGTAGGAGGGGAGTGGGTGTAGACCTTGTTCTGACTGTTGCTGTTAGGTGCCCTGGAGCCAGCCTAACTCAAGGCATCTCTACAGTTCCCACCATGCTTGCGGCAGTTTCTGTGTTGTCTTGTTGAAGAGCATCCTCTCTTTGGATCACCCTCCACTGTCTTGAGAACACTCTCTCTCCCCAAGGACTGTCTCCTGACAGCTCTTCCTGTGTGTATGAGACAGCGTTTCACCTCCCTTGCTTCTAGGGAGCACGTGGTTGCATTCCTTCTAAGGCAGATCTGTGGGGACTTTTGGAGGGCCCTGGTCTATTCCATTCTCTTTGCTAACATCACAGTTCAAAGGCACCAGATCTTTGGTTTTCCCCTGTCTGACTTTAACATGCCTGTGAAACAATTGTGAAAATGATGACCTGAGTCACATATACCTTGTTGTTGGGTGCTGTCGAGTTGAGTGAGATTCATGGTGACGCTGTGAACAACAGACCTGAGCTCTGTTCCAGCCTCTGCTACCCTTATCATCTCTGATCCACTTGAGCTATTGCTGCAGTCACTATGTCATCCCCTCTTGTTGAGGGTCTCCTCTTACTCACCCTCCACCTTTCCAAGCATGGTGTCTCTTTCCAAAGAATAGCCTTTCCTAGTAACAAGCTCAAAGGGTGTGAGATGAGGTTTCATCCTTGCCTCCAAGGAGCACGCTGGCTGCACTTTTCCCGAGACGTATCTGTCTGTTCCTTTGACAGCTCATTGAATATTCAGTGCTCTTCTCTGACACCACAGCTCAAAGGCACCAGTTCTTCTGTTGTCCTTATTCATTGTCCAGCTTTCAGATGTACAGCAAGTGATTGAAAAGACATGGTTTATTCAGGCGCACCTTAGTTTTGAGACTGGTATCATTGCTCCTCAGTGCTTTGGAGAGGTTAGATTTACCCAGTGCAATACCTGCCCCGATCTCCTGATTGCTGGTGCCACAGGTGCTGGTTATGGATCGGTTATAACTATCTGTCGCGTTCTGAGAGCATGTTTTGTAGCGTAAGAGGATCCACAGAGCCTGAAGTTTCCTGGCTGTGAGGCACAGCCTCCCAGCTGCTCTTTGCAGTAAAATCAATAAAGAAGTTCAAGTGGTGTGTACACTTTCGCATACTTTGTACACTTACCTAACCTTTTATGAAACTAAAATGGAAACTTCACCAAACTCGAAAAGGAAGAGCTATCAAGAAATGGGAGTTAGGTAACCGCATCCCATTGAGAGCATGTCTGGCCACGCTGACCAGTAACCTCACCATCACCGCCAGTGTTCCTCTTGCCTCCCGCCTCAGCGTTGATGACTGTCAGACATACCGTTAACGCACAGAATATTTATGTCCGGTGTTTAGACTTTTTACTGTTGTCGTAAATGTGAAGTGCAGGGTAATAAGGTAGTAAGGAGTAGGGGCAGTGTGTGAATATCATCCCCAGATGCTTCAATATACCAGCAAAACAGTGTTAGCTATAAAGAACATTTCTGACCACCGAGAAACTAAAGTGGATAATAAAGATGGAGAAGGGATGCAGCAGGGGGAAGCCTGGAAGATGAGGGAGTGGGGTGGGCTGGAACTACAGGAGCTTGTCATCAAGAGAAGCCGAACCTTTGGTCTGAGTGTAGGAGAAACTGACTTGAGAAGGGCTGAGAAGACAGAGGAGAGAGGTGAGGAGGTGGGATGCAGAGCCGGGGGTTGCACTGTGGGCATGAGGTGGACTGTCCTTCCCCCTGGACTCCAGGAGGCTCAGTGTGTTGGAGAGCCGCAGAGAGGATGCGGAGGTCAGGGGACAGTGGGGCTGAGTCAGCTCTGCCTTTTACTCCACTCCTTTGAAAGGAAGGTGACGATGGGGCAGGTGGACTAAACGTGACACGTTGGAGACTCCGCTGTCGTGTGTGGGCCCCGCTGTCGGTGCTGGCTCAGTGACGGTGACCGGACAGCTGCCCACAGGGCTTCCGGGGCCGTGACCTCCGAGTCAGGTGGCAGGTTGCTTTCTCCGTGGAGCTGTGGCTGAATGCCAGCTCGTTAGCGGCCAAGCACAGGCCCTCAGTGTCCGCGGGGTGAGAGAACGGGTTAGCCGTGAGTGCCAGGCCCAGAGCGGCTTCCCCAAGCCTGGCAGTTGTGTTACCTTGACGCAGGTCTGAGGGACCTGGGGGGGAGTCAGCTGCTTCAGGGTGTTTCCCACCCAGGGACCCCGGTGCTTGATGAACTGAGTTTCCTGTGCAGAAAGGCGTGTTGCCCTAGTGGATTCTGCCTGCAGGAGCCGTTAGGACTTGGGCAGGAGTCTGTGGAGAGTCGCGCCTCTTCACGGTGGCTCTTAGGTGCCCGGGTGCTGCAGTGGGTTCGCAGCCACAGCCCTCCAGCCGCTCTGTGGGAGGTGAATGAGACGGCCTGTGTCTGTCAAGATTTACAGCAGCGGACACTGTGCGATGGTTCTGCACTGTCCTGTGGAGTGGCTGAGTGGGAACAACGTGGCCGTGGGAATGGGTCCGTTCTCTAAGCTGGCATCTCCGACATGGGATCCAGATGGCTCCTAAAGGAACCTCACCTGCATTTATCAGAATCCCACACAGAGTGGAGCCAGGTCCTCTCCCATCCTGTCAGTCCCCCTCCATCCTGCTAAACTCCAGACCAGACCACATGGCCCCAGGTTGAATAGGAACACGTGTCCTTTCAGGGACCAGTGACCTTTAAGGACGTGGCTGTGGACTTCTCCCAAGAGGAGTGGGGGCAGCTGGACCTTGTTCAGAGGACCCTGTACCGTGACGTGATGCTGGAGACCTTCAGGCACTTGCTCTCTGTCGGTAAGGCAGGTGTTGCCTCCATCAACAAGGCTGTCCCCATGCAGTGCTTTCAGCTCCCTGGGGTTCAGCATTTCCAGGGTCTCTGACAGCTTACAGGGCCTGGGAGCTGGGACTGACGGATGAACTTCCCAAGGCTTAGGAAGCATGCTGTGGGAGGGGCTGTGCTGCTTCCCCAGTGAAGGTCCAGTAGAGGAATAAGCTAGGGAAGCATTCCTCTGACGGTCCTGGAGCCACGCTGGTCAAGTCTCCTGTTTGTCTGCATGTGCAGGGAACGAGATCGCCAAGCCTGCGGTCATCTCCCTGTTGGAGCAAGGAGAAGAGCCATGGACTGTGGAGAGAGAATATCCTCGAAGCACTTGTCCAGGTGAGAGTGGGCCATGACCCCCATGTGGCAAGGAACTTCCTCCAGACTCTCCTTACCTGGGGGTGAGGCGTTCTCAGGCGGGTCGCTGCCGGGACCCTCAGCCTGCCTTTCCCTCCCGTACTGGCTCGTCAGTGATGTGGAGCAAAGCTGTCCACCTTTTTAATAAGGGAGCTTCTCTGGGGGTGCAGTTGTTTCCTTACCATCTGCTCTCCTGACAGCCCCATTCTCTGAGATGACTACCTTCATCCAACAGAAATACAGCAGCCATGGTGATAATGGGTGGATGTTTACGTTCTCACAGTGCCAGTGGCTACAAGTCAGAGTTCAAGATGCCAGCGTCAGGGAAAGGCTGTTTCTGTGGCAAAATCCCTGTCTCTGTGATCCCAGCATTCCTTGGTTCCTGGCTGATCTTTCCCCCTTCTCTGTGTGCCCCTCAAAGCTATCTGCACCCTAGTGTCTAGAATCTCTGTGAATTTGGCCCCTTCTCTGAGAAAGGGGACTTTGCAGAGGTGATTGATTTGAAGATCTTGAAATGGGAAGAGTACCTGGATTATGCAGTGTAATTGGAGGGGTCCTTATAGAGGTAGAGCAGTGGGAGGGTTAGAGAAACAAAGGGAACGTGGCAACGGAGAGGAGAGAAGCTGGGGATTGATTTTATAAAACACAACGAGGAGAATGATTGTAGGAAACAGTGTGAATGAAGAATAGTGTGAAGCAATGTATATGAATGTTGGAAGCAAACCAATACAATTTTTAAAAAAAGAATTATTCTGACACTGAGAAATAAAATTGTAGAGATAAAAATTGTCAGTGCCAGCGTAGTTTACATTCATTTTACTGTTAAAAAGAAATTAAAAAGATTGATCCTCTCTGAAGATGAAGAAGAGGTCACAGCCAAGGAAGGCAGGAGGGCACCAGAGACCGGCATCCTGTTACTACCTCCAGAATGTAAAGATAATAAATTTGTGTTGTTTTAAAACATAGAATTTGTAGTAATTGTTAGAGGACTGATACTTAACAATAATGGAAATAGTTTATATATACATATACATTTGTCATTTGGCAGGTATTTCACAGAATTCCTAGTTTAATTGTCAGTGGATTCTGTAAGGTTTATTCAGAGCCTCAGACTACATCCCTGTGTATCTTCACAGTCTGCTCTTTCATTGCTTATCTCTTGTGTCTTGCTTCCCACCCCCCTTTTTTTTCTGTAGTGGTTAGAAGAACTGCAACTTTAGGTTGGATCATTCATGATACTTTTCTTGAGGCTGATGGATTGTCTTTGCTTACTTGGACTCTCTCTTAATGTAGTTATTCTGGCCTCCTTTTCACGAGACAGTCTTCCTCTTTGGATTTTATTAGTTTTCTGTACTCACTATATATTCTGGCTATTTTACCCCCTCTGCACTACTCTCTTCTGCATATCAATCTTTCCCTAACTTACAAGTTTATATTTGAAAACAAAGTCACAACTTGACATTATGGAGCATATATTTCACCGTGTATTTCTTTATGTTCTCACAATTTATTGTGATTCTTTATTCTTGTGTCTTTCAGAGTGGATGAGGAGTACTGAAAGGAAAGCTTTGATCTCAACACAGAGCGTTTTTGAAGGACAATCCCATAGCATGAAATTGGAAAGGTACATATGGGATAATCCTTGGTTATCGAGGGTAAAAGTCTTGGGATGTGAAGATCAATTAGAAATGTTTCATATGAACCAGAATCGAGCTATGAAACAAATGATCTTCATGCAAAAGCAAATACTGTCCCAAAGAGACTCTGAATTCTGTGAACTCAGATCAGACTACAACCAGAGCTTAAACATTGTTCCATTTCAGAGAGTTTCTCAGAAAGAACACTTACATAAGCCTGGTACACATGCTGAAAGTTGGAGATATAAGTCAGCAATAATGTATGCAGACAGAATTGCCTGTGAAAATAATGATTTTGGTGAGACTTTCAACCACATTCAACCTGTTTTCCCTACAAGAATACAGACTGGGGAAAGTCTTTTCAAATTCACCGATGCTGTTAAATCTTTCAATGAAATACTACATTTTGGTGATCATAAGAGAATTCATACAGGAGAGAAACTCTATGAATATAAGGAATGCCATCAAATCTTTAACCAGAGCCCATCATTTAATGAACTCTCAAGACTTCCTACTGGAGAAAACCAGTATGATTATAAAGAGTATGAGAATGTCTTTTACTTCTCATCCATTATGGAACATCCAAAAATGGGATCTGAAGAGAAAGCTTGTAAGTACAATGAATGGGAGAAAGTCTTTGGATATGACTCCTTCCTCACTCAGCATACAAGCACTTACACGGCAGAGAAACCCTATGAATTTAATGAATGTGGGACGTCTTTCATCTGGAGCTCATACCTCATCCAACATAAGAAAGCTCATGGTGGAGAAAAACCCTATGAATGTGATAAGTGTGGGAAGGTTTTCAGAAGCCGTTCGGCCCTGACTAAACATGAACGAAGCCACAGTGGCATAAAGCCCTATGAATGTAATAAATGTGGCAAAGCCTTCAGCTGGAACTCTCATCTTATTGTCCACAAGAGGATTCACACAGGAGAGAAGCCGTACGTGTGTAATGAATGTGGGAAGTCTTTCAACTGGAACTCGCATCTCATTGGCCATCAGAGGACTCATACTGGAGAGAAGCCTTTTGAGTGTTCAGAGTGTGGGAAGTCCTTCAGCTGGAGCTCCCACCTCATTGCCCACATGAGGATGCACACTGGTGAGAAGCCCTTCAAGTGTGATGAGTGTGAAAAGGCGTTCAGAGATTACTCTGCTCTTAGTAAACATGAAAGAACTCACTCTGGAGCAAAACCGTATAAGTGTACTGAGTGTGGAAAGTCCTTCAGCTGGAGCTCCCACCTGATTGCCCATCAAAGAACCCACACAGGAGAGAAACCCTACAACTGCCAGGAGTGTGGGAAAGCCTTCAGAGAGCGCTCAGCGCTCACGAAACACGAGATCATCCATTCTGGGATCAAGCCCTATGAGTGCAACAAGTGTGGCAAGTGCTGCAGCCAGATGGCTCACCTCGTCAGGCATCAGAGGACGCACACGGGGGAGAAGCCCTACGAATGCAGTAAATGTGGGAAATCCTTCAGCCAGAGCTGTCACCTCGTTGCGCACCGGAGAATTCACACTGGCGAGAAGCCCTATAAATGCACTCAGTGTGACAGGTCCTTTAACTGCAGTTCTCACCTGATCGCACACCGGAGAACGCACACTGGGGAGAAACCGTACCGGTGTAACGAGTGTGGGAAGGCATTCAACGAGAGTTCTTCCCTCATTGTACACCTGAGAAACCACACTGGAGAAAAACCCTACAAATGCAGTCACTGTGAGAAGGCTTTCTGCAAGAATTCCTCCCTCATTATCCACCAGAGAATGCATAGTGGAGAGAGGCGCTTTATATGCAACCGATGTGGGCAGGCCTTCAGTGGCCACTCGGCTCTCCTTCAGCATCTGCGGAACCACAGTGAAGAGAAACTCTGAATTCAACTGGTGGGAAATTTTCCCTTGACTGTACTTTTGGTAACACGTTTGGTCTGGGGAGGAAACTCCTATAATTAAGAGGGGAATTTTTTTCTGTAAGAATTTATTATGGATTTTCCCTTTATTATGGAAAGAGTAAGGGAGAGTTTCTGGAGTTGTTCATCTCTTACTAAATTAAACTCAAGACTCTTTCCCTTGTTGTACGCCACCAGTCTGTACTTGAGGAATGTGACCATAGAGAATGAAACATTGAGATTATTCTCACCTATTTGTGGATCAGTATGCATTGTAAGGGGAAAATTTGTGTCAGGAAAAAGATTTCTACAGGAAATAACACTGTTTTGCATCAAGTTGGGCTCTGAATGGAAAACTTTACAATAACAATTTAGACATAATTACAGGTTTTGCTATTATAAGGAGAAGGTGTTTGTACCTTTCAAAAAATGGAAAACAGGATACTAAATTTTAATTTAAGAAAAATAGCTGTATGGATATTTACTAGTGATCAAGATTAATCTCCTTAGAAAAGTAGTAAATGAGATTGCTAGTGGTGAAAACGTTGTTGCAAGTGTAGGAGACGGTGTAGGAGGAGCGAGAGAGTGAGGCTTCCTCAAAGTGAATGTCCCTGTCCACTGGCCATTCCTGCTTGTTGGACCATCAGATTATCACTTGTTTCAGGCAGTCGCTGTAAATTGGAATTGTTGGTGTTGCGTCAGTATACATCATGTGAAAGATTAAAAGGACACAATCGGGTACATTTTTACTCTAACAGATCTCAACAGCATCCAAGAGTCAGGACTGGCAAGTCCCATAGAGAAATTAACCCAGTGAATTATAAGGGTTTTCATTTTACAAACATAAATTGCACTTACCAGGCGCTCGGCATTGTTTTAAATGCTTCACAGATATGAACGCATTGAATCCGTTTGACTCTGTGAGAGAGATACTGTTGTTCTGATTCTACAAGGAGACTAAAGCAGAGCGGTAGGACCCCACCACGGACACACAGGTAGTGAGCTGTGGAACCCAGTTTGGTTCTAAATTTCGTAACTTAATCACCATGTTACACTGTCTTTTTAGTGGTTCTCTCCACTCCCTGTTAATTTTCCCTTTTTGTTTATTGTTTTCATAGTGGAGATTTGATAATAAAAATTAATAAACCCTAAACAAGGAGAGATAAAGTTACCTGGCTCCTTTTTCTGAAGGATTTGATAACACATAAGTAATCTCACTTGGGAATTTGAAAAGCACTGACTCAAACATACCGAATTGCTGCATTTTCTGGTACCTGGTTTTCTAGAAATTGACATCCACAGCTTTGAGGATCATGTGGGGGGACTTGGGGCCACATCAAGGGTTTGGGTGGCCTCGGGAGTGGCCCCGATAGGTTTAGTGTGCCCTGTGTGGAATCAAGGGCAGGGGCATCTACTGGGAATATACCCTGAAGAGACCATAGCTGACATCCAAGGGCAGGGGCGTGTAAGGAGCTAGGTATTTCCTCACAGTAAGGAGCTTCATTTCTCAAAAACCTCTCTTGAATTCGGCGTATACTGTTACTTCTTTCTCTTCTCCAAGTGCAAAGATTGGGAGAATTCACAAGGGCTGGGAGTGCTCTCAGGGGCTAGAAGTCACAGATGTGGGAGCCCCGATGTTCCGTTCACAGGGGGTTTCTGGCTTTCCCTGAAGTGGGGTTATAACCGAAGATCAAGGTCCTTCTTGTAGAGGTGTCCAGTGTGTTGGTCAAATCGTAGAATACAGACTGTTCATCTAGGTGCTTGGCAGTAGGATTTTCACCTTGGGCATAGGAGAAGTCAGACTCCCTTCCCGGGCAGTCCACCCTGCGTGGAGTCACAACTTGTCTGTCTGTCTGCAGAGGAGTTTTGTGTTACCTGAAGTTCCTCACGCTCTGGGCACGTGGCCAGGAGGAACTCATTCTTGGAGCAGGACATCATGCTTGGAAGGGTCGATGGTCAGTGCAGGAGAGACAGGCCCTGGCTGAGGTGGATTGACACAGGGACTCTGGCAGTGGGGTCACGTGTGCCAGAGACAGATGGGCTCAGGGTGGGGTAAGTGCAGAGCTATTGCTGATAGGGGTGCAGTGAGTCATAGTTGAGAGCTCTGGGGACCTAGTGGTGAGGAGCTGAGTTGCCAGCACAAAGACACATGGTTCAAACCCACCAGCTTCTGTAAGGAATAAAGATGGGACAGTCAAACATGGTGGGTGTGCATGTATCTGCTTGGGTGGCAGCTCTGGTTTCTTTGGGATATATTCCCAGTAGTGGAATTGCTGGGTCAAATGGTATCTCTATTTGCAACCTTTTGAGAAAGCACCATATTGCCTTCTACAGTGGTTGCACCATTTCACACCCCCAGTAACAGTGAGTAAAGGTCCTAGTTTCTCCACAACCTCGCCAGCATTGGTTGTTTGCAATACCTTGCCTTTTAAGTGTCCGATAAACCAAAAAGGAGAAGGAGGACGAGGAGGAGAAGAAAAGCATAGCTAATGTTTCTACTGTCTAGTTCAGAGAGCTCTGGGGCCTAGTGGTGAGGCGTTACGCTTCCCACCCAGAGTTACGGCGTCACCCCGCCAGCCACTCCTCGGGTGAGAGGGCAGCCTCCTCCTGGGAAAAGCACTCTCTGAAAATCTGCTGGAGGATGAGCTGTCAGCTGGTTCTGACTCAGCCGTACACAACCTCAACGACAATGTCCCGGGGGTGTGGTCCCTGCAGAGCTGCGCTACTAACCAGAAGGCCACGTCTCTCAAGTGGGGTGAAGCCAGCCGCTTTGTGGGCACAGGTGGGCGAGCTCCTCTCCAAGCAAGCTCACGAGAAGGTCAGCTGCGCATCCGGCCCGCCTCCCCAGCAGTGAGGGAGCGAGTGCTTGGCTCTGGGTGGCGGCTTAGACCCTGTCTACGTTTTGCATGAAGACGGCTCAAAAGAAATCATCTCCAGCTACCATAAATTGTGTGGGGAAATTTTTTTTTCTATAATTATATTTTATTA